CATCTTGCAAAAGCGCTAAGGGACCATGAACCCTATGACCGAACACAAGGTCATTGGGGCTAAAACCTGTACTCTCCTGTACCACCTCACGAGCAGCCAAGAGCATCCAGGGTAACGCCTCCTCCCAATCGCCTTGCAGCTGCACAGAAAAAGAACGCAACATTGACTTGAGAGTTTGGTGAAATCTTTCCAAAGCTCCTTGACTCTGAGCATGATAAGCAGAGGAACAATTGTGTTTTATTTTTAGCTGTTTCAAAACCTGATCAAATAAATGGGAACAAAAATTAGACCCTTGGTCAGTCTGAATCACACGAGGCACACCAAAGACAGAAATAAACTGAGACAACGCTCGGACTACATTCTTAGCCGTAATGCTGCGCAAAGCATATGCAGCAGGGTAACGTGTGCTCCGACACATCACAGTTAACATGTACATTGCACCAGACCTCGCAGGTGGCAAAGGCCCCACGCAATCTATGAGTAACTGCTCAAAAGGATGCCCCATAGCTGGAATTGAACTAAGTGGGACTGGCTTCAAGGACTGGTTCGGCTTACTTGTTAGCTGGCAAGTGTGACAAGACTTTATGTAAGCAGAGACATCCCTTTTTAACCGTGGCCAGAAAAAATACCTAAGCACACGGTCATAAGTCTTCCTCACCCCAAGATGGCCGCCCTGGTCATGTGAAATCTGTAAAACAGCAGCTCGAAATTTCACCTTCAGACTGTCATCGTCCTTCTGCTCCTTCACCAGATCACTGCAAGAGACTGACCAGGGGAGAACCGGCACAGACAAAGCACAATCTACCACTAGCCCCTCTGTTTTAACTCTTCGCTTCTTGGAGCGTGTGACAACACAGGCTTTAAAAACCTCAGGGAACTGCAACTCATTTTCATCAGGCTTACTATGAACCACCGGAGAGCTCGTAACCTGAGCTGGAGGTGGAATATCCGCCCAGACTCTGCTCCCCGCAATGTCATTTCCAAGAATAAGTGAGACTCCATCCACAGGCAGCGCAGGACGCACCCCTATAGTCACTTCCCCCTGGAAAAAATCACAGTACAGCAAAATTTTGTGACGAGGCACCTTAACCACTTGGAGGCCCATCCCCACCACAGGCATATCTGAACCAACAGAAGTTGCAGAAGAAAAAGGCAAGGCAGAGGCCACAATAAACGAGTCCCCAGCGCCAGTATCTCGCAAGATCTTAACACGCACCCGTTCATCACTGCCCACCAGAGAAACAACGCCCTCTGTAATGAACGGTAAAAATGATTTCAACTCCGGAGTAATCTTAGACACTTTTGAACCTGCAGAAGCCACAGTGCACATCGTAGGCATTCGATTTGGGGAGCCCTGTTTAGAACGGCCTTTCAATGCGTAGCAGTCACTCTTCCAGTGACCCCTCTTGTGACAATAGTTACAAACCTTTTCAGAGTCACGCAACAATCTGCTACCCCTAGCCTCCCCTTCAGATGCTTTCCTTGGGGCAGACATGGGCCTATCCCCTCGATAACTCAGACCAGCCCCAGGAGAATTACCTATAGCATGAGTTAAATAAAAGTCGTCAGCAAGCGCAGCTGCCTCCTTGACCGTTCTCACACCACGCTCACCAATATAAACCGAGATGCGCTCTGAAACAGAATTCTTAAACTGCTCCATCAGGATCAACTCTTTCAAATCACCAAGTGTCTTCACCCTAGCTGAAGAACACCAGCTCTCAAAATGTGTCGTCAAATCACGCATGAACTCTAAATGGGACCTCTCACCACGCTTCCATCCACGGAACCTCTGACGGTATGCCTCAGGGACCAGTTCATAAGCTTTTAAGACAGCGGCCTTAATCTCTGTATATCTGGAACTTCTAACATTCCCAAAAGCAGACGCAGCCTGTTGAGCTTTGCCTGTCAAGACACATTGTAACATTAGCACACAAGTTAACTCAGACCACCCTCGTGCCTCTGATAACTGCTCAAACAACGAAAAAAACGTCTCTGGATCTCGCT